TCCCTGGGATCCGACAGCAGCCAGCTAGCCTAATTGACGAGCTCCGGGTTCTGTGAGAGATCCTATCTTAAAACAAACAATAAAGAAAGAAAGGAAGGAAGGAAGGAAGGAAGGAAAGAAGGAAGGAAGGAAGGAAGGAAGCTCCTGAGAAATGACACCCAAAGCTGGTCTCTGAGCGCTGTACTACTCAGCACATGTGTGCATGTGCCCCATACATAGTTACGCAGGCACACATGCACAAATAGATAGAAGACAGACAGACAGCCCCATGCCTGGACCTTATTTGGACTTTGCTTCTAGCAAATCCTGGGGGAGAAATCAGAACATTGAGAAGCAGTGGGGTTCTGAGTGAGTACTGCCCACAGGACAGCTTACTATTTCTTTTGTAGGTGAGATGAGCCGCCATGGTGATCTTTCTCTCCTTTTAAAGGATCCTTATCTTTCTCAGGGCAACGCGACACCTACAATTTGCTTCTAGATTAAGCATAACTGGGGAGGAAGATACGGAGTAGCGGAGTAGCTGTAAGATACACTGTGGATGCTGGTGCTGGGCACATGGAAGTTCAGTACTCAGTGTTTTTATTTTTTCTTCAGCAGTGGGAATCAAACTTGATCCCTTGCCGAGTGGAACCAGGGGACTTGAAGCAAGCACTCTGCTGTGGCACTGGAGCACGAAGAGCTAAGAAGGGGTAAATGCATCTTTCAAGTTCAACAACCAATTCCAAGGCAAACAGAAAAAAGAAACATATAGACACCATCACCAACACAGACACACATACACTTGAGAGCAAAAGTACGGAAGCCCACTCAAGAAGTGGGTGAATCAAACTCGAGACACAAATACGACCTGGTGATATAGGCCTGTTATCCCAGCTATTCTGCAGACAGAGTTCAAGGGAACCGTGGACTACTTAGTAAGAACTTGTCTCAAAATAAAAAACGAAAAGAGGGCTGGAGGGTGTGATTCAGTGGTAGAGCAATTGCTAGAATCACCAGTGAGGGGCTGGGGTGTGGCTCAGTGGTAGAGCACCTGCCTAGAATCACCAGTGAGGGGATGGGGTGTGGCTCAGTGGTAGAGCACCTGCCTAGAATCCCCCAGTGAGGGGCTGGGGCATGGCTCAGTGGTAGAGCCCCTGCCTAGAATCATCAGTGAGGGGCTGGGGTGTGGCTCAGTGGTAGAGCACCTGCCTAGAATCATCAGTGAGGGGCTGGGGTGTGGCTCAGTGGTAGAGTACCTACTTAGCAAGTACAAAGCCCTAGGTTTGCTCCCCAGTACACCTCTGCCTATAGCCGGCAGCTGTGGGTGGTTCTCCACCCAAGGATCAAACACCAGCTATGTGAGGAAACACTTTCCCGACAACAGTAACTGAAAGTACTGAAGGTTTGAAGATAAACTTCTAGCAACCATTGGGGCTGGATTCTGGTTTCTCTCCCATGTGGGAGATGCCTAGGAGAATGTGTGGTGTGTGCAAATGTCACCCATATGGCTGTCACTGTCATCTATCCTGAGGGTGGAGTAGAAGGCAGCTAAGGATGGCGCTGCTTTGGGAATCAGTGTGGGCGTCCACAAGGGACAAAACTGCCAAGCCTGGAGCTACTGGGGCTTGCTGAAGGCAGGCAATGGTTAAGTCAACAAAATTCTAATGCAAAACAGGCTAACAAAACAAGAGATAGGCACAGAAAAAAATTGCCATTATTTCCAGATCATTAATGAACTTTTCATTTCAAGATAAAAATTGGGGGGGGGGGTAAATAAAAAAGCAAGCTTTGGTGTTGGAGAGTGGTCTCTCTGGTGGTGAAGTGCCAGCATGAGGACTTCAGATCCCCAGCACCCAAGCAAAGGATGGGTACACAGGCACGCACGCGCGCGCACACACACACACACACACATTCATACACACAGTATACCTACAACTGCCTTGCTCTGAACTCACTGGAGTATCTGGATTATTTTCAATGTCAACATGCTGAAACAGCACTCTAACCCCAAACTTGACAACATCCTGTCCTATCCATGAGACCATTTCTTTTGGAGCTCCCTAGGTCAAAAACCACGGGAGACCCCCAGAACTGCTCAGCTGGCCTGCTGGCATGCTTTTCTGAAGTGGGACAGATATGTCATCCATTGCGGTTTTCCTTCCGCACACTGGTTATGACTCTGCGGGCCTGGACTGTGCTAGAAACACTCCCCAAGTCAGACACACGCAGCTGGCCTGGGGAGATGGCACCACTGGGGTTTGCCACACAGGCATAAGACCCAAGTTCAATTCTGAGAAGTCACATAAAGAAGCTAGACATGCTGGTGAGGGATCACAATCCCAGTGCTCAGGAGGCAGAAAGAGATAGCCCTGGGACTTGCTAGCTAGCCAACCTTGACATCCAGATTCGGTGAAACACCCTGCCCCACAAAATAACGGAAAGGCTAAACGAAGAAGACGTTCAAAGTTGACTTCTAGTCTCCACACATGAACATACAGTCAGGAGAATGGGTTGTGTGCACACGCACACATGCATACACGTGCACACTCTGCAAGGGCTGCAGGGCTCAATGGTAAATCCTTTCCCTGCCAGCTAAGCCACCGTGCTCAGACACGTACCCACCGCACATGCCAGCTCCTGAGAGACAGATTTCCAGGCACTGCACCCAACATCATTTCAAAAACAGCAGCCTTGGCCCTGATCAGTAGATGAGCAGGACCCTGTGGTTTGAAACTTTGCCCACCATGGGGAGACAATCCCACGCGAAAGAAAGTCTTCTATTCCAAAGGCAGGGAGTGGGGCTGGGGAGAAGTGGGAGAGTGAGTATGCTTGCTGCACAAGCAGGAGGGCGTGAGTCTGGATCCCCAACAACCATATAAAAAGCCAGGTGTGGTTTCCTGCGAAGCTGCAACCCCAGTGCTGTGGGGGTGGAGACAGGAGGATGACTGGGGCTTGCTGGCTGCCAACCTAGCTCCAGGTTCCATCTGAGACTCTTCCTCGGGGGAATAAGGTAGAGAGTGACAGAGCAGGACGCCCAGTGGCCTCTCCCTTTGACTTGTGTGTGTGCAGCCCCATCCCTAACAATACAGTAAGCTAGACTCTGGCAGGGGTGGTTGGGATAAGAACCCTAAGAAGACAATGGGTTGAGGTGTTTCCAGAACCTGAGTTACAGGAAGAAGCCCGAGGAAGATGGAGAGAAAGATCATCTGTCAAGTTCTCAGGCCCAGGAATGCAGTTAATGACCCATTGAGTGAACGATTGTTCCTCCCGGCAATCTGGCTTTATTTTCTTTCAGTGGTGGGGATGGAACCCAGGGTCTCGCGTGAGCTAGGGAAGCAAGCAGTCTACCACCCAGCAACAGTCCAGCCCTTGTACATTCAACAGGGACACAGCTTTCCGGTTTGGAAAAAGAAGGTGACATTCCTTCTCACACCTTAGTAAGATGAGTCACTGTTAGTGTTCAGAGTTATTCAGTCAGAATACATAACATATCTGGACCCTGGGAAGGTGGACATACAACGGCAAGTACTCCAGACCTAGGAACGACCCCGGCAAAAACTCCACACTCAGGGAGCTCATAAACGTAAGTAACGAGACAGACACTCACACCTGGCCGTGAACCTGGTCAAAGGAACACCAGCGAGAGTTAGAAGCAATTACTGAATAGAAAAAGAAAGTGCTGGGAAAGAAGCAATTAACATGGTTTTCCCCTAGTACATAAGATCTTAAGGTCCTGGACCTCGAGGGTGGCAGGGGACTAGGAATAATGGGAGTTTGGAAGAAGGTAAGGTAGGCATGGTGTCGAATGTCACAGGAGCAGTGAGCCTGGGACCTGGGACGAGCAAGGGATCTGTACTTCCCACCATGTTCTGGGGGTAAATAGAGGCACAGCACTTCCTGCCCAGATTCTAGATGTAAAGCCACTGCCTCCAGACTTGCTCTTAAGGCATGGACTGTCTCCCAACGAAGGCAGCTCCCTGGACCATACACCTCCCGGGGAACACGCTCCCTGGCAGGGGTAGGGCAGCTCATCAGTCCTTCCAGGTCCAGGCCAAGGAAGTGAACACTAAAGGACAAGGAGTGTACCTAGATTACTCAGACCACGAGGGTCAGAAGCGGCCCTGGTGGCTCTGCCTAAATGGAAGGACCTGGAGGTTTAGGCAGGGTGAGATTATAGGGGTCAGGGGTGGCCCTAGGGCTCCCAGGTTAAGTAGAGTCAGGGGTAACTGTTCCTGGCTGGTAAGGGTCAAGAGTGACCCCAGGTATTGGGGGCAGGTGGGATCAGGGGCAACCTGGGTTCAGAAAGTAAGGGACCAGCATGGGAGGGGTGGAGGCCAGATGGAGTAGAGGTGTGTGTGTGTGTGAGAGGGGGGGGGGAGGGAGGGGAGCTTAGCATGAACCCAAGTGTTTAGGCCTGTCCAGGGTTGGAGTGACAGGGGGTTTCAGGATGAGTGGGGTCTGAGTTTGGTCCTACCAGTCAGTCAGGGCCCACCCAGGGATAAGGGCCCAGTGAGCTAACAGGGGGTCAGGCTTAGTTGGGTCGTGATTAACATCACAGGGTCAGAGCCAGGTGAATGTCGGGATCACCGGGATCTTAGGGTTCAGGCTTAGCTGGGTGGAGAAACGTGGTAGCCAGGTGGTCGGACCAGGTAGGACCAAGATCAATCAGTGTAAGCAGGGGTTCAGAGCTAGGAGGGGTCAAGAATGGGAGCTATCTAGGTAATCAGAGCCGGGTGGAGTCGAGATTGGAGAGGCCAGTACCTGGCAGGGTCGAGATGGGGGAGGGAGTGACCAGGGGCTAGGACCCAACAAAAAAACGAGATGGGATGGGGAGAAGGAGAGACCCAGTGGCCAGGCCAGGAGGAGGCGAGTTGAGGGGGTTGACCAGGGGTTCAGGACGGATAGGGTCGAGATCAGGGGGTGACAAGGGACCAAGCCGGGTGGGGTCGAGATCAGCGGGTGGCTAGGAGGTCCAGGCCAGATCCGGAGAGGGGTGACCCGGGGGGTGGCGCCGCACTCACTGTTGGGGCAGCTGAAGGGCTGGCGCTCCCCGCCTCTGGAAGGCCCCGTCCACGAAGACACCGTTCTTGCCGAGGCAACGCAGATAGAAGTGAGGTTCCTGGAAGCTGAGCTGCAGGTGGCGCCGGGAGATGAAGCTCGACAGGCCCATGCTCAGGTCCACCGATCCCTGCGACGAGTTGCGGCCGATGGTGACGCTGGGCTGTCGCATCAGAAACTCGAACTCCCGGCCCTCCAGGCGCGCTAGGGCCGGCCCTGGGCTCTGGCGCACTGAGGCGGCGGCGGCGGCCACCAAGGCAGGCGCGGCGGTGGTGGCAGTGGCGGCGGTGGAGGGCACCGGGCCGGGGCTGGGGCCGGGACAGGGCACCGCGGGCACTGCGGGCGCCGCGGGCGGCCCGGGCGGAGGCTGCGCCGGCGGCGGCGGGGATGCGGTGGCCGGGAAGGCGGCGGCCGCGGCCGCGGCGCACAGCACAGGGCTGCAGGGAGCGGAGCGCAGCGCCAGAAGGGCGCGGGCGCCGCTGTCCTCGCCGACTTCGGCCATGTTCGCGCAGCACCGAGCGGCTCCGGCGGCGGCCGAGGCGGCGCGGGGCGGGGCGGGGCGGGGCGGCGCACGCAGAAACCCGGACTGGATCACAGCGCGGATCGGAGCTAGGGTGCCGCAGGACCCCTGACGCTGCGCGCGCAGCTTCCACCTCGGGGAGGGCGGGTACAGAGAGGCCGAGAGTCAAAGAGCCCCCTCCTCCCGCTCCGAAGTGCGCGTGGTGGTGTTTGACTCACCACGTTTTTAGGGGTGTCCTACTGAGATTGCAGGCCAAACTTGCCCTTGGATGCTTGTGACGGTCTCAGCTAATCGCCGATCGCTACTGCATGGCTGTTCTTTGTAGTTTCGCTTTTTTCTTTTATAATGTTGCAAATTACATTTTATTCATTCATGTATTTACTTGTGGGTCACCATACCTGTGTGTGTGTGTGTGTGTGTGTGTGTGTGTGTGTGTAGGTTAGGGGGGACACCTTTCAGGTCTATTCTCTCTTACCCTGTGGGTTCTGAGGATGGAATTTAGGTCGAGCTTGGTGACAAGAACTTTTACCTACTGAGATATCTTGTTGGTCCTTGTTTTTGTTGTTTGAGACGCTATCTCATACCCAGGCTGGCCTGGTTTGGCTACCTAGACCAGGCTGGCCGCAAATTCATGATTTTCCTGCTCAAGCATTACAGGTGTGTGCCACCAAGCCTAGCCCTTTTAATTAAGTAATTAATCAACTAATATTTCATACAGGGTCTCTTGCTATGTAGCTCAGACTGGCTTCCAACTGGTGACCCTTCTGGCTTAGGCTCCCAGAGTCTTGCTGGAGTCACAGGTGTACACTGCCACGCCTGATTTCCCTTGTTCCTTTAAGGTGAACAGCTCTGCTGCTTCCTAGAGACTATGGACACCCTGGAGATGGACGGTGGTAAATGGTGAATTTGGCAGCATCTGCATCCCTTGAGAACTTAAAGGTTCTGCACTGGGATGCTAGTTCAGTCAATGCTTCCTTCAGGAACACACACACACACACACCCGCGCACATACACGCACGCACGCACGCGCGGGTTTTCTCACACTTAATGACTATGAAGGAACTGACACAGTTGCTTGGTAAAGTGCCCGATTCATTCACACTCCAGGACTGGAGTTCATTCCCTAGTACCAACTTCAAAACCCATTGAGAGCTTCTGTAATTCCAGCTCTTTAGGGTGGAGCCAGACAGATCGCTAAAGTTCATTGGACAGCCTGCCTACCAATCAATGAGCTCCACGTTCATGGGAGCCACTGTCTCAAAACAAAAACAAAAACAAAACTGAGAAAACAACAACAAAAAAAGATAGAGACAGGCTATGGTGGTGCACCACTTTGATCCCAGCACTTGAGAAGCAGAGGCAGGCTGATCTCTGTGAGTGCCAGGCCAGCCTGGTCTACAGAGCGAGATCCAGGACAGTCAGTACTGTTACACGGAGAAACCCTGTCTTGAAAACCCAAAACACACACACACACACACACACACACACACAGAGAGAGAGAGAGAGACAGAGACAGAGACAGAGACAGAGAGAGATGTACACACTTATGCATTCAAGTGCACACACACGCACACAAGAATTTTTTAAAATAATGATCATGAGAATAGAGATGTAGGTCCTGCCCTCAGTGAACTTCAGGACTAATGAAGAGACTGATATGAATTAAGGATCCATAGAAATCAATGTCATGCTCACAGTCATACAGGGTGTATGCTGACAGCGTGAGCAGCAGAGTGTTGGGGCCAGGGCCAGAAGGAAGCGGGAGGGGGCGGGTCAAGGGCAGGTGGAAGGGAGATTAGGAGAAACGTTCCTGCCTACTGAGCTCCCATTCTTAACCCAAACAGGGGAGCTGATCCTGTTATAAAGCTTCTCAACCTTCCTAATACTCAGACTTCATAACTGTAACCTTGCTACTGTTATGAATTGTAATGTAAATATCTGATATCGGGGGAAGGGGTGGGAGGATGGGGGTTGTCACGACCCACAGATTGAGAACCACTCTCAGGAGGGTTACAATGAGAGAGAAGAGTATTTGAGAGGCAGGGGACAGAAGTTTCTTGGTTTTGGTTTAGGTTTTGCTTTGTTTTAGCTTGGTCTATTGGGTTTGTTTGTTTGTTTGTTTGTTTGGCCTTGGACTCTGTAGCTGAAGTTGAATTCCTGGTCCTTCTGTCTCCACCTTCAAAGCTAGACAGGCATGCATTAGCACACCCTTCTAGGGTTCCCATTTTCACGTTTTTCAGTACGAGCTTAAATCCAGGGCCTCGTGCAGCAAGTGCTTTGGCACTGAGCTATGCCCCACCCCTTTAACATAATATTTTATTTATTATGTGTGTGCACGTCAGAGAGAAACTCTCCTTCCACCACGTGGGACCTGGGGAATAACACTTGGGTCCTCAGCCTTGGTGGCAAGCCCCCTTACCTGCCAAGCCATCTTGCCAGCCTCCCACCGTGAACTTCTTGTATTTTCCATTTCCAATCATGTTCCACCTAGTTCTCCAGACTGGCTTTATTCTCACGCTGTGACCCAGGTAGATCTTGAACCTGAGATGCTCCTGCCTCAGCCTTTACAGTAGCTAGGCAGGATTACATGCCCAAGTCACTAGACCTGGGAAACTGTGGCAAAGGAACCTGATTGAGGGGAGGACAGTGAGAGCAGGCTGAGGAGCCTCTTCCCCAAGTGAGGATTCTTGAACCAGTGTTCAGAGGATGCGCTGACACTGGCTGGGGCTGGAGGCGAAGTGTGGGAGGAGAGCTTACAGCCAAAGAGTGCGCGTGCTAACCCCTGGAAGTCTGTACTCAGGAGGGATGGACAGAAGGTCACCGTGGCCGTGAAAGAGCAACCAATTCATCTGAACAAGATGAATGAAGGGCTGTGTAGGACCCCAAGAGCCATGAGAAGCACACCCATGTGCTTGTAAAAGAGTCACCCTGGATGCCATGGAGTTGGACTAAAACAGTGGTCAAAGTGGCTGTGGGTTGCTGGTTAAGAAACTGCCAGCCTAAGTAAGGCAGGTTTAAGGAGAAAGATGGGGGAAAGCCAACAGTCCCAGAAATATTGAACACACACACACATACTTTTTTTCAATAATTTACTGTTTTTAATTGAGCTATACATATTTTCCCACTCCCCTTCCTTCCTCCCCGCTCCCCATCTACCCCTCTCCCATGCCCCCCATACTCCCAATTTTCTCAGATCTTATCTTTTTCTCCTTCCTATGTAGACCAATGTATGTCTTTCTTAGGGTCGTCTTGGTTATCTAGGCTCTCGAGTTGTGCACTGTAGGCTGGTTATTCTTTACTTTATGTCTAAAAGCCACCACTTATGAGTGAGTGCATATGATATTTGTCTTTCTAGGTACAGGTTACCTCATTCAGTGTGGCTTTTTCTAGGTCTGTCCATTTGCCTGCAAATTTCAAGATGTCATTGTTATTTTTTTTTTACCACTGAGTAGTACTCCATTGTGTAAATGTACCACATTGTCCTTATCTATTCTTCAGTTGAGGGGCATTTAGGCTGTTTCCAGGTTCTGGCTCTTGTGAATAATGCGGGTATGAACAAAGTTGAGCACATGTCCTTGTGGTATGATTGAGCATCCTTTGAGTATATGCCCAAGAGTGGTAGTGATGGGCCTTAAGGTAGATTGATTCCTAATTTTCTGAGAAATCTTCATACTGATTTTCAAAGTGGCTGTACAAGTTTTCACTCCACATCCTCTCCAGCATAAGTTGTCATCAGTGTTTTTGATCTTGGCCATTCTGACAGGTATAAGATGGAATCTCAGAGTTGTTTTGAATTGCATTTCTCTGATAGCTAAGGATGTTGAGCATTTCCTTAAGTGTCTTTCAACCTTTTTAGATTCCTCTGTTGAGAGTTCTCTGTTTAGGTCTGTACTCCATTTTTTAAAAACTGGATTATTTGTTCTTTTGATGTCTAGTTTCTTGAGTAGAAACTACTTTTTCTTTACAGAAGCTTCTCAGTTTCAGGAGGTCCCATTTATTAATTGTTTTTCTCAGTGTCTATGCTACTGGGGTTATATTTAGGAAGTGGTCTTGTGCCAATGTGTTCAAGTGTACTTCCCACTTTCTCTTCTATGAGGTTCAGTGTGTTGTTTTTTTTTTTAAAGATTTATTTATTTATTATGTATACAGTGTTCTGGCTGTATGTATACCTACATGCCAGAAGAGGGCACCAGATCTCATTACAGATGGGTGTGAACCACAATTTGGGTACTGGGAATTGAACTCAGGACCTCTGGAAGAGGTCTTAACCAGTGCTCTTAACTGCTGAGCCATCTCTCCAGCCCTAGCGTGGTTGTTTTTATGTTGAGGTCTTTGATTTGTTTGGACTTGAGTTTTGTGCATGGCAATAGACATGGATCTATTTGCATTCTTCTACATGTTGACATCCAGTTATGCCAGCATCATTTGTTGAAGATGCTTTCTTTTTTCCATTTTATAATTTTAGCTTCTTCGTCAGAAATCAGGTGTTCATAGGCACACACACAGTTTTTAAAGTTCAGCATAAGACTGGTTGGTGGCACACACTTGTAATCCCATTGATCAGTAACCAGAGACAGGGGAATCTCCTAAGAGTACTCGGTCAACTCAAGTTCCATAGTGAGAGTCTGCCACGAACAACCACAGAGGGCTGGGGCGATGGCTCAGTCACTAAACTGCTTGCTGTGAAAGCATGGAGGCCAGAGTTTAATTCCTAGAAGCCAGGAGAGAGAGAGAGAAAAGCCCGAATGGTGCCACATGCTTGTCATCCCATCACAGGGATGGTGGAGATAGGGGGATGCCTGGGGCTTGTTACCAGTCTGGCCTTACGGAGACCCTGTCTTATAGGAGACGGATGTCATTTTGGAGGGTGACACCTGAGCTCTTCCTGACTCGGTGTACATGAGCACACACAAACACCCATGTGTACATAGTGCAACTGCACTCACAGACAACTTTTACCATCAGACACCGAATCCCATTTCTGGGCATATCCCCAAGAACTGAACTCAAGGTGTGAG